ATTTTCTGATTATTATAATGCCTATCATCCATTGCTGTTTGACAAGGTGACTTGAACCATCCCCAGTGGAGAAGAGCATGGTCCCTATTATAGAAACCCCTGGACTCAAGACTATTTGAGGAACCCTTCCAAGATACTGAAGAAGTTGTCCTTCTAGGAAAACAGTTTTTCTCCAGCCTGAGTCCTGATTACTTTAAATGCTACTGATTGTTCCTCTCAAATTGAGAGCTTCTCCTGCATATTTGAAATATGTGCTCATTTGTTCATTCAACAAATAACGAGTGATCAGAGCAAACAATTTAGTCCTGGAATACAGCTTCCATTTGTTTTCATTTTCTGCCCAAATTTCAATATCCTAATTAGGGTTGCCAGAGTGAGCAAATAAAAACACCGGAATGCCCAGTTAAATTTGATTTTCAAATAAACATCAAATAAAAGTGAAGTAGAAGTATGTCCCATGTAATATTTGAAATATATTGCTATCAAACAATTATCTAAATGTATAACTTTAACTATCATCCTCTGTTTTACTGGGCAACTTGTAATTTTTTTGATTACCTTAAGACCAAATTTGAATGTTTCTCCAGACTAAACCTTAATCCACATTTCTATCGGGAAATAATTTTTGTTTGAGCCTCTTTTGCCTTCCTATTAACCCAGATTTAAAATTGTTTTCTTGCCAATTCTTTAATTATTAATGTCTCATCTGGAACTTAAAAACAACAGACATATTTGTGTTTTTTACAAATTGACTTATGAATGTGAGTCAGCATAGAAAAGACAAATTCATCCTGTTCATTTAAAATATGTTCAGTCCTTGAATATCTGCCTTCAATTCCTGTCAGTTTCTAAGTTGACCTTTCTCTAGTTGTGTGTAGTAAATAGCAGAAGTACATAACAGTGAAAAATTAATAGAGGAAAATGTGACATTAAATGCAAGGCAGATTCATACAGCACTCTTATCCATCCATCACTGTTTTTTCTATGAGACTCTGATGGTCTGATACAGTGAACCCAGGTTCAAGGCAAATTATTGAGCATCTTTGGAAAAATGCAAATTAGAGCAGGCAAACTGATTTTAGCACTTCAGGTATACTAAATTACAGCTAGTGCTCAACTTACTACCACAATTGGTTCCGACAGACCGGTCGTAACACGATTTGGTCATAAGTTGAGTAGGCTATGTGTACAGTACTGTGCAATGATGTTATAAAAATCTTTGTCATATTTTATCATAATTTTCTTTCATTATTGTTATATATCATAATTGTCTTTGTTCATTTTAAGCCATTTGTATCATCTCTACACCATTTTGTTTCTTATTTTTACATTCGTCAGGTTTAAGTAAAACACTGCATTACCAGTACAACTGGTTTAATATTTGAAAAACATACAAAATTACAAAATACAGGTGCATACAAAAATACAAAATACAGGTGTAAAAAATACCATAGGAAACATTTTCCCAATTGCAAAACATATCAAAATATATAAACATGTACGAAACATTTTATTGGCCGCTGGTGCTTGGCTGCAGATCCTTGATGTCGTCATCTGAGGCAGCAGTTGGGGTTACCAGAGTTGCTTTTTTCATAAACATGGTGAGCTTTGTCTGAATTGTATGTTTCTTTTTTTCTTCATAAATTTCACGATACGGATGAAACACATCATGCGCCATCCGTTCAATCCTTGCAAATCATTCAATGTTTGGGTCCATTTCTTCGAAATGTATAAGAAGTTTATTGGGAGGGGTTTGATGAAAAATATCCAAGACACGAAACACAAATTGCTGTACCGAGTCTGGGATAATAGTTGAAATGGTGCATGCGGAGATGGTAGTGCTGCCGGAAGCTGGTCCGCACTGTCATACGCCCAATTGGGCAACGTTTGCGCTGCCAGATGCGGAGCAGTCGTGGCTAGTGATTGTGGTTGTAAAGTTGAATGGTCGTAAGTTGCATAGGTTGTAAGTTGATCAATACCTGTAGTACAATAAACTGCAGGAGAAAAAGGTAGTTTCTCCCTTGATTTATAACACTTAGTAGTAGCTTCTCATTCAACTGCACATTAGGTCATATGCTGGGATATCTTTCTACAGTGAATGATAAGCACAGCTAATGTTTAACTGCAACCTTATTTTCAAGAAGACAATCTTTAAAATACCTTGAAATACCTGGGAATAATGAAATAAAAATGATTTTCATAGATCTACTTATATTTTATTGGAATAAAATATTGTCTTAGGAACATTGGAGAGTTTCTTCTAACACATCCACTATTTATCTATAGGCACGTACATAAACAGACCAAAAGGGTCAGACATCAACAATTGCCATTTCCTCTTGTCTTGTGTGACCTCATTTAAGGCAGACCTTCTCTCTAATCTATTAGATTATACAAAACGAACAGCATAGGCATAGAAAATGTTGTTAAGGGTCAAGAAAGTCTCAATGTTCTCATTAGCAAGAGGCTGTGAATATATGAGAAAACTTCATCAGTGAGACACCCGGGCTGCCAAGGATGCAATTAGGAAGGACTTTTGTTATTGTATTTTTCTCCCTGCAAAGTTTTTTAAAAGTAGTTCATAATTTATTTTTCAGTACTTATTTTGGCCTCTTAATTAAGTAGGAGGATGCACTGGGTAGCAGAGAGCTGTCTAAATATTTTCTTCAAATTCCACTTACAGCTTTTCAGAAGGCTCTTTGTGAGGACAAATACAATAGACTTTAAAATGGACAAGATGGTTCTAAATCTTGGTCGCGGTATCCTTTGAAGGATGAATCAGTATAGGAAGACAATATTAGTAAAATTGCTCTTTTCACAGTTACGGATAAGCAATTATTCTATTGAGTACATTATTAAGACAATAGCTTCATCCAATATGTTTCATAACCTACCGGAAAATTTACCTTTAAAAAGTAACTGTATTGCTAAGGGCTGAGTATTCTAGGATAAAAGTTTTACTCCTGCTAAGGCAGTAACAAATAAAGAATGCATGGATAACAAACTTGAACTCAAATAAATTAAGTGTTGCACACTTATCTACATTTTCTTCAATGTTATTGTGTAACCCCATGCCTAAATCATCTTAGAAAATGGATGCTTCCCAAAGAGACTGGATTATGTGACCTGATTTGAATATTAATCTCAATGTTTAATAGCTGTTACTACCAGAAACTATTATATATTTTCATGTAGCCTAATTCAACTAAATTTAATACAAGAACTGCATGCTTGCTGGGGATGTATTTCTATACCAGGTAAGCAAAACAGAGGTTGTAAGAGAGCTGAGATGACAGCACTATATGGAAGAAGATATACAGAGGTAATGAATGAGTATAATTAAATTGCGACATGCTCTAGGGCAGACAGAGAAATAATGAGATTATTGCTCATAGCTCCTATTATATTGTATTTGGGAAGAGCGAATCCTCAAATGATCCTTAAAGGAAGACAGTCATCAGAGAGCGCTTTGGAAAGGTGATTTAGGAGGGAAGACCAGGTGGTGAAACCGGGGAAGAGTTGCTCACCATCTTCCACATTGGACAAGTGCTAAATTGCTGCAATGAGCTCTTCAAAGTCAGGGACCATAGTTTATTCTTCTTTAACCCAATTCCTGACATCAGTAGGTGCACAATATGTATTTTTTATAGGAATGCATGGTGTGATCTGGGCTCCATTTCTACCAAAAGGACTGTTTAAAGGTTCATTCCTTTGAATCAAGGCTTTGGAAACTTCAAGATATCCATCAAAAATAAAGGAAGGACATCCTTTTGATTCTTCTCAGCTTTCCATATTTGGTTGGGGATTAGTCTTATTGCATTAGCTCTATGGTAGAGCATCGGAAAAAAGGGGCAAGCTGTGGTTTCATGTTTTGCTATATGCTTTTCTCATCTTCACAAAAAATGTTATAATACAGGCATTTTAGTCTCCATTTTACAAGTCAGAAATCAGTGGATCAGAGATGTTAAAATAAGTTGCCCATGCCCATGGAGATAATAAATGATAAACCAAGAGAGTGTTCATAAGCCTGCTTGGCAGCTGTTATGCTTTCACGTGTTCCATACCACCTAGCACAAAGCTGGCCTGGACAGAGGACTGGGTGGGTATTTGAAAATCCTGTTGGTTGAGAATAGTCTGAAAGAGAATGGCAAAGTGCTCTAACCCAGGATCTGACCATTGGTAGCCTCTCAACACCCATGTTTTGGCTGAATTAGTGGCCTACTAAAGCAGAGGGACTAGCAGAAGGCTTTGAAAGGCAAGCTCGGCTTCTTTTTCATGCTGCTTCAGGTTGAAGCTACTTGATGCACATACATAACAAACACATTTCACCAAGGATAGCAGAAGATGTCATAGATTCTTTAGGCCCTGATGTTTCTGATGAGGTATTGGTCTCACTCTTCCCAGCTCTCCAGTCTTATACAGGAAGCATCAATGCTAAACTTTTTTTTTCTCATATGCAAAATGGATTATAAAACAACTGAGATGATAGTTAGAATCCATCATAATAATGTATGTGATTATGTTTTATAATGTAAAGTGTTCTAGAAGTGTAAGGTGTTACTAATTACACCAAGAAATTTAGCTGAACTACATGACATCAAAGTCAGAAAGGATGTCACCATATTTGTAGTTTTCTTTCAAAGAGACATCCTGGCTTTGGGTGTCTTCTAGAAGTTCAATTCATTTTGAAAATGAATAAGAGTTTTTCAGGCAGAAAGTATCTTTCATCTGGGAGAGACTGACAATACATATTCAGTAGTGCTAAAGAGAAAAATTTTATTCAGATTCTTCTTTTTTTATAGATCCAAGAACTACCAAACCATTTCAATACCACTGGCTTGAAACTAACATTTCACCAAGGTGTAAGGATTTTATTACATTGCTCTGAGTTGATATTTCCGTCTGTAGCTCAAAAATCCCTAATTCTATTTCTTCTCTAGACTCACCAATACACCCCGCGGGAGGCACATGACCACCCACAGAGCTTTTGTTTATTACCTTGGATTTTAACTGAGTTAGGATTCATGCTCCTTACAGTCATTGAGGATGTTCTGGCAAGTCGATGCAAAATGCATTTAGATAATGACTCTGCTGTTCCGATGTTGGTTAGCTATTCATATGAGATGCAATTATTGTGTTTACTTCTTCATACGATGAAAACCATTAATGGCAGCATCCAGTCATTAAGATAGGATATTATAGAAACTTTGAGATGATTTTCTGCTGCTGTTTTTTTCATTCAGGTTTTCACACTCAGTGGATAGCAACAGTGCAGCACTATTGATTCCTCCTCTTACAGGAGTCACCATAAACAAGTTCCATTTCAGTCTGTCAATATATTTCTCCATATGAAAATTTTCTTGGTACAGACTCCTCCGATAAAATCCCCCACCTTTATCTAGAAGGATGGCTTTGAATTGGTGAGTATATTATTAACTCTTTCTCGGGGTAATAGATATCATTTGTTGACAAAATTGAACTCAACGTCAAACTCTTGATAGAAAGGAGTAAAAGAGAGAATATCGGTATGCACCAGGAAGATAATTTAGTCTTTATCTTTAAACTTAGCTTTACCAAGGATATCATTTCTTTCATTCTGTTTGGCAAATAACAGGTACTTGGAGAAAATTGGTAACATTTTTTTTTCTTGCACACTGAGAGATTAAATAGCTCATCTCCCCAAACATACTCTCAAGGAAATGACATTTCCTGCCCAAGGTGAATGACAGTGGAAACCACTTCAAATGAATCATCATATAATCAAACCCTAGATTTATTGAAGTACTGATTTTATACTGTGCATTTACAAACATTGTCGAAAGTACACAAAAAAACATCATGAAGCTTCATGGTATTTGGCAGTGCTTTATTTGTTAATTAACCCATCCATGAATTCAGTAAATACTTACAGGGAAATTATTTTCAGCAACTATTTAAAATAGCAGAAGTGATATGAAGAAGGCATTTCTTGTCTTCCAGGAATTTACAATCTAGTTGAGTGATTGGCATGTACATTTATAACCACAGTCAAAGGATACAGTGATGCAAAGGATGTATTATGAGCCTGAGGGTAGGGAAGCATTGCTTACAGCAACAGCAAGAGGAGTATTCCTTTTGTCTAATATGACAAACAGAACAAAATCCTTTTTGATGGGTCATTTATCTGACCTGAGTGGTCAGTGTCCTTGCAATACATTGTTAAATATTTTAATGCCAGGTTAGTAATGTGAAAATGCTTCTGAGGGGAGGAGATACCTTATTCATTCAACAACTATATACTGAGCACCGACCATTCACTTGGAACTATTTTCAGATCTCAGCTATCTTAGGACAAACAACTGAAAAAGAACCCAAGTTGCTTTATACCTGGATTTTATATTCTAGTGAAGGAGAACAGATAATCAACACTTTAAAATGCATACTGTAGTGTTGACAGTGGTGTTTAAAAGAAAAAATAAGAAGGCTAGGAGATAGAAAATGACAGCACAGTCACTTTGGATGTGCAGCTAGGGGCTAGGGAAGGTTTTTGAAACAGAAACCAGACAGCAAAGACCTGAATACAGGGAGGGAGGCCACAAGTCTGTGCTATTTACTAAATTCATATTATTTTTCAACAAACACATGTTGTACTAAGGATCAAAGATAAATAAGGCCTATCTCCTGACTTCAAGAAGCTCATCGACCATTGAGGAAGGCTGAATTCCATAAATAATACAAGAGCAAGCATAAATGGAAACACATAATAAAAATCACAACACAAGCACTATATCAAAATGAGTATCATATGCTACAGAGGCAAGAAGGAGGAAGCCTTGTGTTCTACTAAACAGCTGTCTCCTGGAGGAACTTTGTAAGCCAGGCTAAGAAATTTGGATTTAATTCCAAGAGTTGAGGGAAACCATAGGACTGCTATGAGCAAAGATGTAACATATTTAGTGCTTCTAAAGGATTGCTCTGGCAGTCTTCTTGAGACTTGAAGAGGGACAAGCAGAGAAGCAGGGCTACCAGCTAGAGTTACCATTAGAAAGCAGTGATCTCAGCAAAACAGGATGGTGGCTTAGACCAGCCATGGATGCAAGTAGCAGCATTCTAGACATGCTTAATAGATGGGGACAACAGAGTTAGTCAATAGGAGGTGGGAAAGAGGGGATTCAAGGTGTGTTTGCAATGTGAGCCTTCAAGCTTGTGGACATCTACTTTTACCTTCTCATATCACTAATGATCCATTTATTATGTCATTTAGAACATGAGGTGTTATTCCACAAAAACTGGAGAAACAAATTTCTCTGAACGGAATCAGTTTCACAGTATCTGTAGAAGATGGTACTACTAGCCCTTTGTTATTCAGTTATGTAACATTCTTAAGTGGTGGATGTTATGGCAAATGTTGGCTTTGATAAGGAAGTGGGGAATATTCATGTGATGAGTGTATTAGCCTAGGCTCTCTAGAGGGACAGAACTAATAAGGTAGATGTATATACAAAGGAAAGTTTATTAAGGAGTATTGACAAGCATGATAAATAGGTGAAGTAGCACAACAGGCTGCCTGCAGTCTGAGGGGCAGGGAAGCCAGTCCGAGTCTGAAAACCTCAAAAATAGGGAAGCTGACAGGGCAGCCTCTGGCCTGTGGTCGAAGGTCTAAGAGCCCCTGGCAAACCACTGGTGTAAGTGCAAGAGTCCAAATGCTGAACAACTTGGAGTCCAACTTTCAAGGGCAGGAAACATACAGAATGGGAGAAAGATTGAGGCCAGAACACTCAGACCAGCCTGCTCTTTCCATGCCTGCTTTTATGCTGGCACTTGATTAGATGGTGCCCACCCAGACTGAGGGTGAGTCTGCCTCTCACAGCCCACTGACTCAAATGTTAATCTGCTTTGGCAAAACCCTCACAGATGCACCCAGAAATGATACTTTGCATCCTTCAATCCAATCAGGTTGACACTCAATATTAACCATCACAATGAGTGAGTTACTGGATAGAAATATTTTATAGAATGTAGTGAAGGAAACCACATTAGTCCTTTCAGGTCAATAGCATACCTACAACTTTTGCCTTCTGAAGCAATTATATTTGTTCAAATGTATATCAAGCTCCAGAAAAGTTGATCAGAACCAAGCAATTCCTCTTCAATGAGTTATTCTTCCCCAAGCTATCCCTCTGTTTCTCTCTTCCTGATTCAGTTAACTCTTCAAGGACACATATAAAAGCTATAGCCCCTTTTCCTTTTTGCCAGTTCTCCATAACCAATACATAAAACGTTACTCATTTTATAGGTTTTGTGGGATATACTTTTGCTCTCAGGAAGTTCTTTTCTTTATATCTAACACTAATACTTATTACTCCCATTAATTTTTATCATTTAATGATAAAAATTCTTCTTTTTAGCTGATGATGAAAAATGGTTGCCTATACATACCATCCTTTCCACAGCATGGGAGAAGAAGTCATTGGACATATGTCTGTTGGAAGGCTTCCACTCAGGTGGTCCCTAACTCTTATGTGTTCAGTCATTAATTCCTCTTTCTCACTGTTGTCTTCTGACTACTCTTCAAGGTCTCTGTTTATCTCATAAGTCCTAAAATAAAAAGATGATAATTCTAAAAGATTGACAATGTTCTAGTGAATTACAAATATTATCTCATGTATTAGTTCATGTTTATGCTGCTGATAAAGACATACCTAAAACTGGGTAATTTATAAAGGAAAGAGGTTTAATTAACTCATGGTTCCACGTGGCTAGGGAGGCCTCACAATCATGGTGGAAGGCAAAAAGGAGCAAAGTCACATCTTACATGGGTGGTGACAGTCAACAGAGCTTGTGTAGGGGCAGTCCCTTTTATAAAACCATCAGATTTTGTGTGACTTATTCACTATCATGAGAACAGCATAAATAGACCCACTGCCATGATTCTATTACCTCCCACAACCTGTGGGAATTGTAGGAGCTACAATTCAAGATGAGATTTGCATGGGGATGCAACCAAACCATATCATCTCATATTATGCTCAATTTTCTTATGAGGAAACTTAGAGAGGCTATGTTATTATACTTGTCAAAAGTCACACAGCTAATTCCTTAGGGCCAGGTCAGAGGTTGAAGCTTAGTTGTATGTTGTCAGAAATTGTGCTCCTTATCAACACCTAAGTAAATGTCTCACAAATGCTGTTTGTTTGGATGATGGTTTGTTGCTTGACGTGGTTTCTTTGCTTTTCTCCTGCTCCAGTCTGCTTCTGATAAACACCTCAGGGACTATTTCAAGCTATCAGTATTCTCCTTCAACTCACTCTTTTACTCTAGCCTTTTATTTTTATAAGATCACCTTCTTTCACTTGTTACAGAGAAAATTGAGCTGTTAGCTGTTAACTTCTGCAGGTTCCTGTTTATTCTTCAGAGCTTAACTCATGCAGGACACACTCAGGCTCACAACATCAAACTGTCTAGGAAAGAGACTGAGGCCGACGCTTCCTGTGATGGGTCAGTGTCCAGCGTGGCCTCTAGCACTCTACTCTGTCATTACGTTTTTCTCTGCCGACTGTTCAGTCTTTGCCTTTTATCCACTTCTGCCAGTCTTTAAAGTATATTCCAATGTCCCCACCTAAAATTTCTTCTTTAAAATATACTCCCTTAAATAATTACCCTTATTTGTCTTTCCTTTACCAACAAACTTTTTGAAACATTACTGTATATTTTTTCCACTTTCTTAAAAAAATATTTTCTTAATTAAAATTGCAATTAAAATCTGATTTACTCCACTGCCAATCTCAAGGAAGTAATTTTTCTATTGTGGCCTGTGGCCAATTGCAAAACAATCTTCACCTAGTCTCTAACCCCCCTCCTTTGGCCTTGTGGCCTGCCTCTCATGCCTTTCCTCCTCTTCACCAATATTTTTTCCAGTTTCCCTCTGTGGCTTCTGCTTTTTCTTGGCATTCTCTTCTGTTTTTAGCCTACTCACTTGCCTTATTTGATCTCATATTTTCCCAAGACTTTACCATTGACAGGATGCTGACCCCCAAATCAACACATTCACATGTGTGTTTCTCCTGAGCTCCAGACCCTCTGTTCCAGCTGCCTGACAGTGCTGCTTGTTTGTTTTTGTTATTCTGACTTTCATATGCTCCAAATGGAAGACAGCATGCTTCTTTCCTCATTCCAAACCTGTGCTTCCCTATCTTGGCTAAGGGTGGCACGGTTCACTCTTATTTTTCAAGAAGAGCACCTGAGCTTAATTTTTTCATTTTGTCCATTCTGGCTGGACAATATCTTCTAATAAGAAGTTATGTCCCACCTCCATGCCTTTATTTTAAAAGCTCCTACTTGACCTGGAGCATTCAGATTTTATCTCCTCTATTACATTTCCCAGATGCTCCATAGCAGTAAGTGGCTCTGTTTTCAGCATTTTCTTGGAACTCCAACAAGTAATTTATCCTCATGTGTACATATTTAGCTTTTTCTACCAGCTGTAAGCTTCCTAAGGAGGTGAGCCTGTTAATTCATTTTCCCTACCATCTACCACGTAGGAGATCCTTAATATATGTTTATAAAATAATTGCTTGCCTTCTTTAATGTCTTACATTATGTAGCTCTATGTGCCCAAACATCTATGACTACATCTCATTTGATTTGCATTCACTCTCCTATTAAATCAGAATGCTCCAGATTCAGTGCTTCAAACCACTGGTCACACTCCATTGCCTTCAAAATAAAATCCAAATTCATTGATGTGGCGTAGAACAATCATGACTAGACACTACCTAGTTCATAGTCATATCTTCCACTTCCTCCTACCCTTCAATTCAATTAGTGAGCCCTGCCTAGGATGGGTGTGCCCTTTTGTGTCTCTGAATGCTGCCCAAGCTGGTTTTTCTTCCATCTCCATTGCTTGATGCCCTGCCTGTACACTGCTCCACAGGCAAGCTGACAGTCACCTCAACTGAACAGCCTTCTTAAGACCCTGCATAAAATAGATGGCTTTCTCTACCTTTTCTTCATAGCATGGTACACGTTTTTCTGTAGTACCAATGTTGTGATTTTTATGTTTTCATTTATGTTTGTTTGTGTGCTATTTATTGACTTATGTCTTTATGGCTGGTCGATGAGCCCTTTGAAGTCAGTGTTAATTATCTTTGAAACTTGGTACAGTATATATTTGCCAAAAAAGAATGTGTACTCAGTACATGTTTATCATTAAATTAATTAGCATGTAATTATAATCTTAGGTATGATAATAAGGCTGTGAATCAACATTTGCCTTACAAAATAAATTGCTTTTCTTTGTTAGGTTTCCCAAGCTTTATTTTTCCAAAAAAGAAAACACAAATATTCTGGCAGATTCTTTGCTCTGTGATTGAAAATGCAGTCTCCGTCTTTGTTCAGATAGAAGGAAAAATAAAAATGAAAGAAAAGCAGTTACAGCACACCTGTGTTGGCAAGCTGTCAAACTCTCTGTCCCTGACATTAATTGGATCATCCGCTGAATGGGGGAACTGATGGAAAATGCAATGAGAGGAGATGACTGGGGAAAATAACTGCTATCCTGCCCATCAATAGTGATGAAAGTGACACCTGAAGAATTATCTTTTATCCCATACAAACAGATGGCTTCAAACAACACACGCGAAATACAACCGAATTTCTTATGCTCACCTCTAAGCACTTAGGTCAGCTTGAGAAATCAAAAAATATAAACAACAAAGAGCACTTCCTGGGTGACGAATGACTAAGCTGAAAGCAATTATCTACTGATTTGTAGTCTCTGCCTGCTGTTTTCTTAAATGGCCTGCTATATGAGAGTAATTTTATAGTGAGGCTTGGGCCAAACATTAAGAGAAAAGTTGTCCTGATTTCCACTTTCAATGGTTACAAATAAAAGAAACAATAAAATGAAAGATAAATAAAACAAGTAAAGACACACTTATTGATTGTATTCACACCTCTACTGCAAGAGAAAATGAATGTCTGAAGAAATTTGTATTAAGATGTATGGAATTTCGTTAGGAGAAAAATAGCTAGAAAATTGCACCCAGCGATTTATGTGAGATGTAAACAGATGTTGTAAACTCAGACTAAGGAAACAAGCTGGTTAAACAATGAGAAAAGGGAATTGTTGAAATCTTAGGGAGCTATCAGAGTCGACATATGTGATGTATTTTATTCTTTACCCATTTGGGATTTTAGCTAATTCCACTTAAAAATAAATACAAAACAAATTATACCTGGCCAAGCAAATACTCATCTTAATTTGCAAAGCTTAAAGAATCTGTAAATTAGGTAAATGGGTTTATGAAGGAGGTCTCCTCACTCAAATAATGAAAAGTTGTTGCTTGTTTTGTTCCCAGATTACATATACTTTATAACTGAGAGAGGACAAGAGAAATGACTATGTAGAGAAGGCATTAGAAAAGCAAAATTTTCTACATCAAGAAGGCCTGAAAAAAGGAGGCAGGTGTTCATGGAGGGAAAAAAATGTCTTAAAAATTACGGATATGGGGTGAGTATGTGGAAGACCAGGGTGGGTAAATTCGATAAAGAGAGATATGAGATTTAAGAAAGGTAATTCTACCGTGAATTAGATTCCTTTCACATTTCTCTAAGAGATTCAACTGGAGGTTAGCGTAAGTGCCATTTTATTGGTTTTATATTCCTCTACTGTGCTTCTTTCTATGCAATTCTTTGCATAGACTAAGTCACAAGGAGTCTTAGCATTTACTGCAGTTATAATATTAAAGAAGCAATTTTTTTTTTACTAGTTTTTTGGTAGACATATCTTCTCTAAGCAGGAGAACACTGGAGGGAGAACTGGCTCATACGGGGAAGATAGTGGACCCACATTAGCGTAGGATGATTTTAGTTGTGTGTGAAGCACCCACATGAAGACATGGGCAGCGAACCCAGGCAGGGGGTGAGGGTCAGGGCTGCAAGTAAATATGTGACTCCACCATCTTTGGTGTAGATGTAAATAGAAAGTTCCAGGAAGGAGGTATAGTTTCTTCATGCCCCTCCTCCTCTAATTTTCCTGTCAAAATCTGCCTCACTAAACACATTGTTGGCAGAAACTTATCTTTTGTATCTCAGAGCTTTCACTTAGCCTGATACAGCTGCACTCAATCGGCTGGTATTTGCCTTTGCAAAGCTGGCTCCTGTAGGTCCTTTCAGTGTCTGCTTGTGGGCCAGATGCTCCAAAATGACTCCCTTGGCCATGCCCACCAGGCCACTTATCTCTTATCGTCTACATTGTTCAATCTCTTCAGAGCACTTGTGAATGTTCTGTAGATCTTCCTACTCTGATTGTCAACCCTGGGAATATGAGGACTATGTCTGATGTGCCCGCCAATTTATAGCCTGTCTCTAACACACAGTGCATGTTCAGTTAATCATTGAATTAAATAATAGGTTTGCAGATGAAAGAAATTAAGCAAAGCTACTTTTTTGGAAGAACTTTTGTCCACTTAGTACTGTGAAGAGGTATATACAAAAGTTAATTTGTGCAAAGAAAAAATTTGGAGATATTGCAAGATTACATGAAACAGAAAAAGGAGAAATGGAGTCCCAGAGACACACACTTATTTAAAAGTGCTAGTGTGACATAGAAATAAGTGCAAATTAATGATGAGATAAAGACACCAGTGAGGTCAGTAGAGATGAAACTCAGAGGAAAGACGGTTGTTTAGAAACCCGCAGGAAGCTAGGAAACACATACTCCCACTGGTCTTTTTAGAACCTCAGCCCTGCCTTGTTCATAACTTAGGTATTTATTCTAAGGATTTCATGCAAGAAAGGAATTTGTAAAGTACCATTCTATTAACTCATACTGAAGAATTGCTGAGAGACCAGGAGTCTCTAAGGGGCAATAGGTTTGATACCCTTGTTTTACTGAGTGGAAAATTTAACTCAGAGATTTTAAATGAAAGTTTAGAAACAAAACTTAACTAGATCTCTGAGCTACCGATGAGCATTTGAAGATGTTATTATCGTGCTGAGAGGAAGCGGTGGCCTCGAAGCCATCTTTAAGAGCTTCACAATTCAGCTGCCCTAAGTCCTGGCCCTGTAGGGGCCTTCTGGTCTACAGTATTCCCCAAATCTGTGCTCTTTCTGATTCACACACTTGCAACAAGTGACCTCTTGAGATCACCTTGAGATCCTGTGGTGGTAGGTGCTCAGAGCAGGCAGGAGTCCGGGAGTTTTATTGTGTTTGTTTTACTCAGAGCTGAACACAATGGATCCAGATTATGTCTCTCTTGGTGGGAAACTTAAAAGTTTGAGTGCAATGGGGGTTTGAAATCTAGAGTCCCAGGCCAGGCACGGTGACTCACAACTGTAATCCTAGCACTTTGGGAGGCCAAGGAAGGCAGATCACGAGGTCAGGGGTTCGAGACCAGCCTGGCCAATGTGATTAAGCCACATCTGTACCAAAAATACAAAAGTTAGCCGGGCGTGGGGCAGGCAGTCAGTACTCCCAGCTACTCGGGGGGCTGAGTCAGGAGAATTGCTCGAATCTGGAAGGCAGAGTTTGCAGTGAGCCGAGATCATGACACTGCTTTCCAGTCTGGGAGACAGAGCAAGACTCCGTCTAAAAAAAAAAAATCTAGGGTCCGAAAAGTTTCTCTTAAGGGGTTGTTTTCTGCCTCCTCTGAGATTTCCTCCAAAGCATCACCAGTGACCTACGAAACCAACTACTGTTGGGCTCTAGAGTGGTTGTTCCTCCTCTCCTCTTCCCTCGTCTCCTCCCAGTCTCTCTGCTGACACAAAGTAGCCTTGTTAAGACTGTCGCTTTGCCAATGGCTTTGCTCACTGAATTTGTTGGTTTTTTTTTTTTTCAATTACTTTTTAAAATTTCAATAATTTGGGGGTTACAGGTGGTTTGTCTTTACATGGTTGTGGGTTTATTAAATAGAATGTCCTTTTTTTCTGTGTACTTTTTATACTTTTTCTTTTATATATTTTTTATTTTTATTTTAAGATCTGGGTACATCTGCAGGATGTGCACGTTTGTTACATAGGCAAATGTGTGCCATGGTGGTTTGCTGTACCCATCAACCCATCATCTAGGCATTAAACCCAGCATGCGTTAGCTATTTTTTCTACTGCTCTGTCTCCCCTCACCGCACCTCCTGACAGGACCCAATATGTATGGTTCCCCCTCCTGTGTCCATGTGTTCTCACTGTTCAGCTCCCATTTATAAATGAGAACAAGCAGTGTTTTGTTTTCTGTTCCTGCATTAGTTTGCTGACGTGGCCAACAAACGTATTTAAAAAAGCTCAATATCATGAATCATTAGAGAAATACAAATCGAAATCACAATGAGATAACATATCATGCCAGTCAGAATGGTGATTATTAAAAAGTCAAGAAACAACAGATGCTGGCAAGGTTGTGGAGAAATAGGAACACTTTCACACTGTTGGTGGGAATGTAAATCAGTTCAACCATTGTGGAAGATGGTATGGTAATTCTGCAAAGGTCTGGAACTATTTGACTCTGCAATCTCATTACTGTATATATACCCAAAGGAATATAAATCATTCTATTACAAAGATACATGCACGTGTGAATAGTGATTCACAATAACAAAGACATGGAATCTACTCAAATGCCAATCAATGATAGACTGGATAAAGAAAATATGGTACATATACACCGTGGAATACTATGCAGCCATGAAAAGGAACAAGATTATGTTCTCTGCAGAGACAAGGATGGAGCTGGAAGCTGATTCTTAATTATATAAACAAGACGTCTTTTCCAGGCAAACAAAGCTTCCACTGAAAGAAGCACTCCTCCAAATCCAAGTTGCCAGGTAGAATCCAGTGATGAGGAATTTCACTGTCTACATAAAATTATACTGACGTAATATATCAACAGCTAGTATGATGAAGACTGGATTTATTTTTTCCATTGCTCTACAAGTTCTTAAGTTATGAAGAAAATATCAACACATGAGAACATGAAACCCTCAGTTCAAAGCTCACAAACTCTACTCAGTTTGCTCTTCCTCCTAAAATTATAAGTCTGTTAAGGATCCCCACATATCACATAGTCCAATGGTTCTCAACCCTGGTGACACATTTGATATCCAGGCAGATTTTATTTTTGTGCTTTTTATTTTTAATACTGATGTCTGAGTCCCAGTCAGAGAGATACAGATGTAATTGGTCTGGAGTGATGCTCAGTCTTCTATAAGTTGAAAAGCTTCACAGATTATTCTCCAGTTCAGCCATTATTAAAAACTAGAACTATCATCTTTTCTCCTGTTCCCTGGAGGTGCTTGATGAGGATGGGGGGGTTGTCTGTCTTGTTCTTTGCTGAATTCCAGAATCATATACAATGCCTGGTGCATGGTGAGGACCAAATAAATATTGTTTAGTAATTGAATTTTTGATATTTCTTAAAAGGATCATCCTCAAGCTATTTCTGTGTTACCAAGTATAAAAAGGAAAGCTCTCTACCGGACGGAATTATAAATGACACTATGTTTCCATTACCATAATTAGGAAAGACTACCAAAATTGGTTATGACAAATGTCTAAAAATCCTCCCAAGCTGTAAAATACTGTAATCTAATCTCCACTCTGCAGAAGAACCATGTTTACATGATACTTTTTGCTGCGGGTTAGCCATGAAGATACCTGTTAGCATTCCCACACACAGCACACAGGCTTCTCCAACGTTTTGATCCCACACTGCAGGGGACATGCTCACTCCTGCTTGCACATTGTATTGCGTACATTTCAGAAAATGACAGAAAAACGAGAAAACACAGAAGACAGGCATGCAATCAGGTTTTATCCAGCTGATAACAAGTACATGTAGAGATAATGGGATTGAAATAATGAAGCCTTCCAGGAAACACACCATTCAGCAAATTCCCAGGTGCTCAGCACAAAGGAAGAAGCGGCAGGCAGGCTCATTCATATGAACCTAGAAGGCAACAGAGCCCCTTAGAACTCAAGAGTCCTTTGGGAGCTTCTCCAGGAAGAATGAATGATCAGCTTCTCCACAGTGGAACCAGTAATAGCATATAAAGGTTAGTGCTGTTTCACGTGGGTAAGTTAAATTATAAAAAGAACATAGCCATTCATTCCTGCTTGGACCCACAGATTCCCTATGTGGGGTGACTGGTGTCCAGATCGGGGGTGGAAACAGGCAGTGCTGTGGGCAGGGATTCAGGAAGGAGCCCTCTATCAATTCCAGGTGGCTTTTGGAAAGTACAGGCGGCTTCTGCTGAAAACAGTCATCAGCTGCCTTAAAAACACTGAAATATTCAAATTACACGACCTCAAAAGAGTCCTGTATTGTTACTTTTCGTCACTACATCCCCAGGTCGGGAGCAGCCATCAAAAACGATGAGTTCGTGTCCTTTGTAGGGGCATAGATGAACCTGGAAGCCATCATTCTCAGCAAATTGACACAAGAGCAGAAAATCAAACACCACATGTTCTCACTCATAGGCAGGTGTTAAACAATGAGAACACATGGGCACAGGGAGGGGAGCACTACACACTGGGGTCTGTTGGGGGAAAATAGGGGAGGGACAGCAGGGGGTGGGGAGTTGGGGAGAGATAGCATAGGGAGAAATGCCAGATATAGGTGATGGGGAGGAAGGCAGCAAATCACACTGCCGCATGTGTACCTATGCAACAAGCTTGCATGTTTTTCACATGTACCCCAAAAACTAAAATGCAATTAAAAAAAAAAGATTTAAAAAAAAAAGACTGAAATATTCAATGTGTTGCCAAGTTGTCTATTTGTGGGAAGCAGAGTGATGAATGCAGTGCCTCTCAAGCATTAATAACAGGAGTCATTTGGTGGGGAGGAGGCTGTTAAAATGCACAGTCTGATTCAGCAAGTGGGGCAGTACATTGCATTTGTGACACAATCTCAAGTGATGCCCATGCTGCCACTCTGAACTACTTTCTGAGTAGCAAAACTTCAAAGAGCTCCTCTTGCAGCAGCAGGAGACAATGCATTGGCTGACTGTGCCTTTGCTTGAAATGGCACTATTTAAAAATCCACTTGAATTTTCTGACATAGATTCCTCAGCTATAGCATGGAAATAGAAATAACTACAGTGAAATATGTTCATTAGCATTAGCATTATGAAATTAAGTAAGCCAATGTCCTAGCTGTCTGTCCTTGAAACTGTCGAGTAACCTCTGTAAGCTCCCTTTTCCTCTTTTGCAAAATGGCCACTGAACCATTGAGATGTGTGTCTAAGGCATCTGGAACATTGCTGGACATATAGGAGGCACTGAAGAGACAGGGAGCTCTTTATTTATGATGTGCAAGTATGCTTTGGTGCTGATCTCAGAATCTGACTCAGAATCTGAAAATAAAAGTGTTACAGTGATGACATGCTGAGATGTTCCTTGCAGGCCAGTGAGTTGAAAGCAAGACGATTGCATTTCCTTTTTTTTCTCTTTTTCTTTTCCAAAGTGTTTATGGTGCCTTGGGAGAATGCCTTTCATTTTACCTGGAGGAAAATACTGTTTTAAAAATCAGCAGCAAAAATATCCCCATGTTGTACAAGAATTGCTCAGTGTCTGCCACTCATTTTGCTCCATTTCGGTGTTCTATATTTTCTGCTTGCTTTCACAGGTGATAATGTGCACCAATAAAAAAACAGAAGGAAGAGGCCCACCTACAGCTGCCCTAAATACTTTGAGGTAAAATGGAAATTTCTTTAAAGAAAAAAAGATAAGTGTCCTGTGAAGGAGAAGATAGCTGACATTTAAAAATACATTTATGGTCCTGGTTAAAAAAAACCAGTGAACACTTACTTTTATCTCAAAATTCATTCTGAAATGATGTACAGATGAGCATATGCTATCTTCCCACTGCTTATGATAAGAACAGAGTGACAGGAAGGAACCACTTGAACTCTCAGAGCTTATGTGCCCTAATTTGTAGGAAACAACCAATAATGACCCCTTGCTCTTTTTAAGTGTTTCTGTGTGAATTAAATAAAATAAATGGAGTGAGCCTGGACATGCCAGAAACTCCAATGCTGTGTTACCACAGAATCAAGTCTTTGGTCAGTCATTCCATCACAAGAAATAAGAAAACTTCTGTACTCCTTGTGGAATCGTTTTCAAACTTATGAAGTAAACTTCTGGAATAAAAAAATTGAATCCAAGAGCAACAAACAATAGGACAAGTTGCCAAAAAGGCTACGTTCCAGCGTTGTTAAGGTGGCATGAGGTGATGTTTGCAAAGCCCCTCAGCTATGGAAGTGGTTTTAAAGTAAACTAGGAAAATCAAGCCTGGCTTCTAAGAGGAGTCTCACTGGGTTTTCTTTCAGGTGGGGAAATTCTCAGACGCAAGTGTATTATATGCCAGCCCTGGACTATGTTTTTCATGTTCTTTTTTCCTTTTTAAGACAGAGTCTCACCCTGTCTCTCAGCTAGAGTCCAGCAGCACAATCACAGCTAACTGCAGCCTGGATCTCCCAGGCTCAATTCCTCCCACCTTAGCATCCCAAGTAGCAGAGACTACAGACACATGCCACCAGGCCTGGCTAATATTTTTTTGTTTTTTGTTTTGTTTTTTGTAGAGATGGGGTCTCACTATGTTGCCCAGGCTAGGCTTGAACTCCTGGGCTCAAGCTATCTGCCCGCCTCAGCCTCCAGAAGTGCTGGGATTACAGGCATGGGCTACCATGCCCAGCTTCTCTGTTTGTTAAGCTTTTAAGTGAGACCACCTTGGTCATTCAATGTGGGCCCTGAACACTGGACATGTATTCATCAACTGAGGTGTGTTGGCATGAGACCTTGAAGGCTGCTGGAAAGAGGTTGCATTAGAAGAAAAAAAAGCATGTAAGGCCAGCTTGTTCCAGTCAAAGCCAGTATGGTCACCTAACAGACCAGGGGAAAGGAGCAGCAGGAGGAGGGAACAATCCTAAGCACATCTTAGGATTGTTCCTCACATTTCCCTTGACCAAGCCCCCCTCCCCCTCTCATAAACTTAACAAACATGGAGTGAGGTTTTGTTAATAATCTTAAACTACACTTGAATTACTCCTTATTATTAGTCCATCAGTTTACTCCCTCAAAGCTTCCAAAATACTTGATACTGTGGGCAATAAATAGTGAGGGATGGTGTTAAGGAAAAAAACTTCTTTTCCTGGGTCCACAAGGGGTGTGGTTTCAAAAACAGTTTCTCAGCTCCATGTCTCCCATCCACGCCTTGCCTCCCATCTCTTTTCTCCTCTCCGCTCCTCTCCTCTCCTCTCCTCCTCTCTCTCTCTCCCTCTCTCTCTCCCTCTCCCTGCTTCTCCGCTAAACTCTTTGGGTCCACGATATTTATTCCAATGGTAAGCTCACTGCACCTTCAGAGCCCCTTCTCCATTCCTGAGGTAAGAGAGGTAGAGGACCTGAGCACATCAGATGGGGAAATTGGGAGCATCTTCGGGATGCCCCACTCCCTCCCCTCAGCTACAATGGGAAGACTTAGAAAATATATACCTTTAAGACAGAATATGAAAAAGTAAATCTGGAAAGTATGAACACATCAATTAGTAGAGCATGTCTAATGATAAATTTTCATTTGCCTACTACTGACAAAAGCAATAATCCTAATTTTGAAACTGGGAACCTAAAATTCATGGGAAGATCCATCTGTTCTTTGTAAGTATCTCAGTCTTCCAAATACTGCCAATTCTTCATTAAGGAAATACTTTGGTGGTATTATCCCCATTAGCCAGTTTCTAAGAGTTGTTACAGCAAATCATAAAGAAACAACTGCTACAATGAAGGAAGAGCATGAGGCTGATGAAAAAGAACTGTCCCTATCTGCAAGGAGCAGGAGACTAACCTTCCTCAATGCTTTGACCTGTCTGGCACATGCTTTCACTGTGGCAGAGTGTTTTATCTCCACAACCAGAGGGAAAACTGGGAAGTTTTAGATCTAGATACAAATCTATGAAAAAGTCAACTTTCTTCTAGTACTGTTAATATTGATCAGTTTTTACTATCTGTGAAGAAAAGTAAGTTGCTGAATGGTGAATGCCCATAAGTATTAAAGCATGTAATTCTCAGGAGAAGAATGCAAAAGAATCTCACTTTATACCATAGATAGCATCCCATCCTGAAAACTTACTGCGTGAATCAGTTTTTGATAGTATGGAACACAATTTTTCAAGTGAAAGGGGTTTTTTTTTGTTTGTTTTTTAAGGATATGTGTCAGTAGGTTATTTTGCAATGGAAAAAAACTTACTTTATTAGAAAAATAGGAAATTTTTAAGTCAGATATTTTTAGTGTGCTATACAGGGAATTATTATTAATTTAAACCACTCCTTTCCTGTATATACTGTTTTTTTTTTTTTTTTTTTTTTTTTTTTTTTTTTTTTTTTTTTTTTTTATCCCTTTCTTTCTCTCCCTCTCTCTCTCTCTTCCCTTCTTTCTTTGTTTTTTTTAGACAGAGTTTCACTATGTCACCCAGGGTGGGGCTGAAGTGCAATGGCAGGACCCCCACTTACTGCAACCTCCATCTCCCAGGTTCAAGCAGTTCTCCTGCCTCAGCCTCACAAGTAGCTGGGACCTCAGATGCCCACCACTATACCCAGCTAATGTTTTTGTATGTTTAGTAGAGATGGGGTTTCTCCAGGTTGGCCATGCTGGTCTTGGACCCCTGACTAACTCAAGTGATCCATCCACTTAGGCCTCCCAAAGTGCTGGGATTATAGGCATGAGCCACTGTGCCCAGGCCTGTATATACTTTTTTTTTTTTTAAGCCATGCTAGTTCTTAAAAGAAAAATGGCTAAAGTCAAAATATGTACATTACATTGGCAATTTTTAAGTTACGCAGGAGCCCACCTAGGTATCACCAACCTCTCTACAAAGACATAAAAAATTTAAAGACGTGGCACTCTCTGAGGGATACAAAAAGAAAAATAAAAAAATGATACTTCTGTCTTGTTGCATGGTGCGTTTCTCTTACTTCAACTATGTACATAAAATGAAACAGAACATGAATTTATTTTTACTATATTTTCATGTAGATTGATATTCTAAAGAACAGATACAAGTAGAATTACTTTTCTGCCAGAACAAAATTGCTTTTATACAATTAGCTGTATAAAAAATTGCTTTTATACAATTAGTTTTTAAATTGGTTATGCAAAGAAAAGAAAAAATATGTATTTATACTTTTTTGATTGCATAATGGCACTTTTTCATGTGGATTTGAATTACTGCCTGGGCTCACTTGTTTCCAGCTTAAGAAACTTCCTTTAGTATTTCTTGTAAGGCAGGTTGACTAGCAATACCCTCCCTCAATGTTTGTCTACCTGGCAAAGTCATTATTTCATCTTAACTTTTTAAGGATAGATT